ATTGAAGGATCTATAAGTACCCTTATTCGAAGAGAATTAGGGCTACACCGAAAGTAAGAAGAAACACTCCATATCTGCTATATGAGATTAGATCTTTGATTGTCATGCATCTTCTCAATACAATATGTTCACAGTGATTAAGATGATGAACTTGAGAAGAGTTACTACTGCTTAAACGAAAGGACACTGTGATCACACTGTTGTGGGAACAACTTTATAGAGCGTCATTGAAGTGGACTGCATCAGAGTGGGCTCTCCAAGTGAAGGGATTTCATTGGACTTCTGTATGCATGGCTCTCCATCTTCAACAATCCACTAGACCTGTGTAGACTGGGTTTGAACCTTGTGTGGGGCACTTGGGTAAGATTATTGTATATCTACCTTTGTACATTGGTTTATGATTTAGTGGATTGGACGCCTATGTGATCGTCCCTCAAACGTAGATACACACCGTATTGAACTGGGTAAACATTCTGTGTCTTTGGTTTTTGTGCGGTTATTTTTCTCTTATTCTCTCTTCGTGATCTATCATTACTGACTCGCCTCTTATCTGAATCAATCAGTAATCTACATCAGTCATCTAATTCTGTCAATTTACTTAAAATGAGGAATTGCAAAATTACAAATTTGAAGGCTTATTTCAGTCTTTTTTCCTTCAAAGAACTACAAAAGAAAAAATAATAACAACAACAACAACAATAATAATATATATACTTCCTCTGTCCTATTTTATGTGTTTGGTTTTTGTAAGTGTACAAATTAGTACACATTAGATTGGCTAATTTATTAGTTTATTTTATTAATATGTAATGTTAATTAGTATGAGTTGTAATTTAATTATTGGACCAAGCTAAAATGTGTGGTGGAGTTTTATTTCTAATGAGTTGGACAAAGAAGCAAGTCTGAAGATCTCAAATTAAAGAATGAGTGGTTGAGAAGAATTCAAGCCACATATGAAGCTACAATCAAGGCTTGGTGGAATGGGAATTGCGTACAGTATATAAGGAAGGGAAAACGAAAGAGGAAGTTGCCAATTCTGAAATTCTGATCTCATATGCAAGCTTCCTATATTACTGCTTTAATATTGATTATATTATTTGTGATTTAAATCTGTACTTCAAATCAGTACCTGTGGTAAAGGCTGTGAGCCGTTTGTAGTTACCTCTTGTAATACTCTATGGTGAACATCTAGTGGATTGGGCAGACGTGGGTTGCCCCGCAGACGTAGGAGAAGGAGCTCCGAATTGCGTATCAATTCTACTGTGTCTTTACTTTATTTATGCTTTCAATTTCGTTATTTATACGTTGATTAAATTGATTTAATTAAACAGCGAAATTGTCTCGTAACATAAAATCAAGTAGAATCCTTAGTGTTAAATTGATTTCAAGATACACGGGTTTTTTCATTTGGTATCAGAGCCACCAGACTTAAGTTATTAGTTTGACGATCGGGCTACTCCGTGCCCCTTGATCTCAATCCTTCAGCGGTTAGTATTATTATTTCTGATTTTGTTAAATTGTTCGATCTCACGGGTTATTGAGTGTTACAGAACGGAGCACACTAAAGCTCTTCCCCAGCTAGTCGGTGACAACTATGCGTATTGGAAGGTGCACACACGCACTCATCTCAAAGCACAAGGTGAAGCAGTATGGTGTATCATTGTAACAGGCTGGGAACATCCAACCAAAGCCAGTACCAGTGAGGATGAAACTCGAGTGACGAAACCTGAAAATGAATGGACCCAAACTGAGAAAACAAGTGCTGGACACAACGATAAGGCACTAGATATTATTTATGGGCTAATTCATGAAAGTCAATTTCCTATTGTTGCAGGCCATGATTCAGCTAAAGGCGCATAGGAAGCACTAGAGGCTACCTACGAAGGCACATCGTCGGTAAAACAATCGAAACTGCAACGGGTACAGTCAGACTTCGAGGAGCTCCAGATGAATGAAGATGAAACCATCGTGACCTTTCACACTCGTGTGCAAGAGCTAGCAAATCGAGCTATGGTCCTCGGAGAACCGTTCACTCAAGAAAAGTTGGTGAAAAAAATTCTACGATCACTACCACTTTAGTTCCTGATGAAAGTTACAGCAATCCAGGAACATGAAAACTGGGAGAAAAAGACTGTAACACAAATAAAGGGGTATCTAAGAACTTATGAGATGGAAATCTTAACAGATCACACAAAAAAAAAACAAAAAACAGTAGCATTCACCGCTGAAGAAAATAATTGTGTACCTGACTTAGATGAAATAGGTGATGATCCAGTTGTATTTCTTACTAAACAGTTTTCTAAACTTTTGAAACAGGTATCAAAAGGTTCACGAAACAAGAATATGCAAAAGGGGGCGTCATCATCTAAAACGAGTTCTAAATCCGGATCATCAGCCTTCAAGGCTTCTGGTTCACGTCCAGGACAGCCCAAAGCGAAATCCACCAGTAAAGGGATCAGATGCTATGAATGTGAGGGCTCTGGACATGTACAAGAAGAGTGCCCCACCTATCTTCGACGCAAGAAATCCATGTCAGCAGTTACTTGGAGTGATGATGACTCGGACGGTGAAACAGGAGGATCTGATTCAGACGAAATTTCTGGTAATTTTGTTGCCTTTACTGCACATATGGCTGCTGGACCGTGTCATGAAGATGTTGCTGACTCAGAGGGAAGCGAGTATATCTCTGCAGAAGATTTAGAGTCAAGTGAATCATCTTTTGAAATTGAGTTTAATAAGTTGTATCCCAAATGGGCAGCACTAAGGAAAGAAAATCGTAGATTAACTAGTGAAATAGGGATTGTAACAACTGCAAAGAAAGTGTATCAAACTCAAATAGCCGATAGGGATTTGCTTCTTAAAGAGGCATTGTCCCGAGAAGAAAAACTGAAACAAGAGGTACAGACTCTGAAGCAGGAGCTGAACACCTACAAACGCCAAATCCAAATGATGGATACCACGTCTACACTTTATGAAATCCTTGAGTCTGGAAGAAAGACTTCTGCAAAATTTGGTATAGGTTTCACAGGAAACAACTCAAAGGATAAAACGATGTTTGTCAAAACGTCAGGCCCTGGTCAAGGCGATATTCCAGAATCTAGCACAGCGACATGTCGCGTTGGTACAGTAAGATCACTCAAGCCATATTATAAAACCTATAACCCGGTATGTCATTATTGCAGGTTACAGGGTCATACCAGACCTGAATGCTACTAGTTCTACAAGGATCAAAGAATCGAGAAGTTCAAACACAATAATATCCAACCCTTTACAAGACAAATCTGGGTGAAAAAGATAGATTATGTCTCGTTCGTATCTTTCCACTCTAAAAGAACAGGTCGAGAAGAAAAATAGTACTTCGATAGCGGGTGTTCACGTCACATGACAGGAAATGCTAAATTTCTGAGTAACGTAAATACAAGCAAAGGTGAAGTTACCTTTGGCGACGGTATAAAAGGACAAGTCACTGGTATAGGCACGCTAAACGTAGTTGGTTTGCCAAAACTATAGAAAGTTCTACTAGTCAAAGGGCTTCATGCAAATCTTATAAGTATAAGTCAACTATGTGACCAGAACTGGAACGTGAGCTTCACCAAAAATAACTGCAGTGTCCTAGACAAAACAAATCAATGCGTTATGGAAGGTACAAGGTCAACTGATAATTGCTATATTCTCACTAACAATGTTTTGTGTTGCAGGATCAATATAGATGAAACTGAGCTTTGGCACCAAAAGCTAGGACATCTAAGTTACAGACTTCTTGACAAACTTGTAAAGATTGAAGGTGTTCGTGGATTACCCAAGCTGAAAGTCAAACCAACCATATGTGGTGCATGTTAAGCAGGAAAGCAAACCAAATCCTCTCATCCAGCGCAGCACACCATAAACACAAGTCACTGCTTGGAACTGATCCACATGGATCTCATTGGTCCAACTCAAACAGAAAGTGTTGGAGGTAAGAAATACATACTAGTTTGCGTAGATGATTATTCTCGTTTTTCTTGGGTTACCTTTCTCAGGGACAAGTCTGAAACCCTCGAAGCCTTCAAAACTCTGGCATTGAAACTTCAAAAAGAAAGAAATGAACCCATCATTCGAATCCGAAGTGATCACGGACGAGAATTCGACAACAATCTGTTCGATACCTTCTGCAACCAAACAGGAATCACACATGAATACTCAGCACCGAAAACACCTCAACAAAACGGAGTTGTTGAACGGAAGAACCGCACAATTCAAGAAATGGGACGAGTTCTGCTTAATGCCAAAGGACTACCTCAAAAATTTTGGGCAGAAGCTGTGAACACTGCATGTCACATCATCAATCGGGTCTATCTACGTCCAGGCACGAATCAGACTCCGTATACATTATGGAAAGGTAAGAAACCAAACATTAAATATTTTCATGTTTTCGGATCACGCTGTTTTTTCTTGAAGGATCGAAACCCTGTCGCAAAGTTTGAATCAAAAAGCGATGAAGGCATCTTCCTCGGCTATTCAACAAACAGCAGGGCATATCGTGTATACAACAAAGTTACCAAAACCATCATGGAGTCCACAACTGTTGTAATCGATGATCAACTGAGCGATATTATCACAACGTCTCCGTCTGGACAAATGACAGAACCTGACACAAGTTGTCCTGAACCTAATCCAGAGTCTCCTATGCCATCTTCCTCATCAACTCAACCTGAGCAAGAAACCGAGTCTGAGTCTGAATTTGACACTGATCACAGTAACATTGATATCCCTACTCGCATCCAGAAAGCTCATCCAATACAAAACGTAATTGGAGATCCCAGTTCCGGCGTAAAAACCAGAGGTAAACCGAAATGTGATTATATTCAATTAGCAGGATACTCTTGTTATACTTTGCAGATCGAACCGAAGAATATCAAAGAAGCTCTAACAGACGAACACTGGATCAAGGCCATGCAAGAAGAACTGGGGCAGTTCGAACGAAATAAGGTATGGTCTCTAATTCCTAAACCTGACAATGTCAATGTTGTAGGTACCAAATGGATCTTTCGCAACAAAACCGATGCGGCTGGCAACATCTCTAGAAGTAAAGCGCGGCTTGTAGCCCAAGGCTACTCCCAAATTGAAGGAATCGACTACGACGAAACATTTTCCCCTGTTGCACGGCTAGAGTCAATATGACTACTTCTATCGATTGCCTGTGCCCTAAAATTCAAGTTGTTTCAGATGGACGTTAAAACAGCCTTCTTAAATGGTTATCTCTCGGAAGATATATACGTTGCTTAGCCTAAAGGGTTTGAAGATCCACATCATCCAGACTATGTCTACAAATTACAAAAAGCTCTCTATGGCTTAAAACAGGCCCCAAGAGCCTGGTATGAGAGACTCACTCAGTATCTTCTTCAGAACAACTGCAAAATAGGAGGATCAGACAAAACGTTATTTATAAAACGATCAGGTGAACACATAACAATTGCTCAAGTGTATGTAGATGATATCGTTTTTGGATCTACACAACCAGGAGAGACAGACCAGCTAGTCAAGGTAATGCAACAAGAGTTTGAAATGAGCATGATAGGTAACTAACCTATTTTCTTGGATTACAAGTGAGCCAAACTAAAGAAGGAATTTTTATTTCACAAGAAAAATATGCGAAAAACCTTCTATCCAAATTTGGACTTGAATCTGCAAAAGATGCTCGTACTCCTATCTCTACGACTTCAAAATTGTTCAAAGATGAAAAAGGAACGTCTGTAGACTCTACTATGTACAGAAGTATGATAGGCAGTCTGCTATACTTAACAGCTAGTCGGCCAGATATTATGGTAAGTGTTGGGATGTGTGCACGCTATCAAGCCGATCCAAAAGAGTCACACTTAAAGGCAGTAAAACGTATTATAAAATACGTTAAAGGTACGATAAATTATGGTATTTGGTACTCGAACGATACTAATCTGAATCTTGCAGGATACAGTGATGCTGACTGGGTAGGAAATGCTGACGACAGAAAAAGTACATCAGGCGGATGTTTCTTTACCGGAAAAAATCTAGTCGCCTGGCTAAGTAAAAAGCAAAACTCGATTTCACTCAGCACAGCTGAAGCTGAGTATATAGCGGTGGGTAGTTGTTGTACACAATTACTTTGGATGCGTCAGATGTTAACTGACTATGGTATAGAACAACAAAGTATGACATTGTTCTGTGACAACACCAGCGCAATCAACATCTCTAAAAATCCAGTCCAACACTCCAGGACGAAACACATAGACATTCGACACCACTTTATTCGTGAACTAGTCGAAGAGAAAGAAATTATCTTGGAATATACTTCAATAGATAAAAATCTTGCAGATCTATTCACCAAGCCGTTAGACAAATCGAGGTTTGAACTGCTTAGAGCTGCCCTTGGGGTTTGCAATCCCACAGCTTAATCTTCCACATCAGGTACAACAAATAATCTCTAATTTTTTTTCTAACGTGGTTGTTGTTTATTTGTTGCAGGAAAAATAAATTTCTAAACCTCTCCTCTTTACCTAATTTTCTTGCCTTTTACCTTTCTATTTAAGCTAAACATCATTCAGAACCGCATGTTTCCTTACCCGGCTCGGCTACCTTATATATTAATTCCACCACTACAAATTAAAATGTGTATTGAAATTGAAATATTATTTTCAAACAACTTCCATCACTCTCTCCTAGTATGACTCTACTTCTACCCCTACAAAATAGTCACATCATTCGTCCCATCCATCACAACTTTTGAGAAGCTCATTAATTAAAAGCCTTATTTTCTTTCGCACTCTTACACGCCAAACCCACACTCTTCATCTTCATCCTCATCTTTACCTCGCTCCATCACCAAACCGTCAACAATGGAAGAAGACAACCCTTTCGCCATTTTCACAACTAAATCCGAAAGATTGGAGCTATTCCGCCACATCATCAACGCTGAATCTCCTCTTACATCTGATGATACGGATCGAGTTCTCGCCACCATCAAGCACCATGCAAACCTTCTTGAAGGACTCTCGGACAAGGAAATCAGACAAATCCAAGCTCTAGCTCAGTTCATATCAGTGGAGCCGTGGACTATTCAAGAGGATCCACCCAAACCGCCTCCATCCCAACAGGAGAAGGTGCATGCCCCATCTCCGAAAAATACGGTAGTGTCCTCACCATTGGATGACTATGTTTCAGCTTCTAGAAAGTTAGATTTCAACATTCATTTGCCAAATCAGTTTGTGTCTGTCTCTAGTGATATGAGTGCCCCTTCCTTTCCTTTACAAGGTGATCCGTATGATTCTTCACATAAATTGCCTGAAAATCTTGTGCCATTATCTGATTTTGTGCAGTCTGTGACCACACCATTCTCCATTAGAAATATCCACCAATTTGTGTCTCCCATGACTTGTGATGCTTTTTCTATTCCCATAACTATTCCTGTCCCATCTTCCACAGTAGAGGCTCCCATACCGGTGTCCACATCTCATAACACTGTCCTTATCGTCTCTGTGCCCGTGAGCAAATCTTCCCGAAAAAGGAAAGAAAATCTTACTATTTCAGGTTCTGCCGGGAAAAGAAAAATTGGAGGATTGGAGGATGTTGTCTGCTTGTCTGATTCCAAGCAATCAAAACGAGGGCCCACATTGCCACCCAGAATGACAAGGTCCAGATCAGTTTCAGGCCCAGTACCAAGTCCGGCCCCTGCACCAGCAGCTGATACTGTCCCCTCTGGCTCAAAGATGAAACAACCCAAGAAGAAATATCACCCTATTTTACTGTCTCCGGATTTGATGTCTGACTGGAGTGTTCATGCTACTAGGGATTTTATTCTAGAGAAATCCATCAATGTAGAAGAGTTGACAGAAAAATGCAACATTGTGCCTATTTTGCGAGATCAATACCTATTTGCCTCACTTGTTTCCTGTAGGCCCGTATTCCAGATGGCTCACTGCCGAGTTCTACACGAATTTAACATTGGATACTTTTCCGAAGGGGTCACCTCGATTTCAACAAGTTTTTATTCGGGATAAATGGTATCCCTTAAGTCCGGCCGTGATTAATTCATATTTGGGTACTCCAAATCATCAAGCTGCTCCTGACCCGAGTCCTAATCTCCTAGCCGCTGCGGCCAAATGCCGGACTCGAAAGCCCGAAGCTCACCACGGTCTACTCTGTTCTGTTACGGCTTGCTTCAACAAATTGGATGCCGGCTGTGCGTCATCATCTTGTGTCTGACCAGCTTGCTGCCCTCCTTTACAAGATCAGGAACCGACTTCCTTTCAATCTTGGAGAAATCATTTTTGGTCATCTTGCTCAATTTGTGCGACATAGGGAACCTAAGGTACATCTATCATTTCCTAGTCTCATTTTCGGACTACTACAGGAACATGGGTTCAAGCCCTACACAGATGAGGTGGTGATTGCTAATGCCTCAGTCTATAAATATGATGATCGTTTGACAAATAAGGATCACTATGATGATAGAGCTACGCTTTTGATCACTCCCGGCGCACCAACTGCCACGCCCTCTGTGTCTGCCCCTGCATCATCCGCTGACCCTGCCTCCGCACCGAATCCCCGTCCTACGACAGCGATCAAGGAACCTCAGACGCTCATGGATCGCCGTCAAATTGTTCTCACTCTTCAAGCGTTAATTGCTCAAGTTCGCACATCGGTTGCTTCTCAACAAATAACCATTGATGGCTTAGAAAATTTGTTGGGTGCTCAGTTGGAAAAAATAGCCAGAATGGAGGCTATCTATGCTCGGATTCGATCTAATACTGGCGCTGGTACTGGTTCTGTTTCTGAGAGCGATGAATCTAGGTCGGGCACCCCGTCTGCAAATTAATCCAATCCACTAGTATGATGTTCACCGGTTTGTTTGTCATTTATTTGGCAAAAACAAAGGGGGAGTATTGGAGAAAGGGGGAGTATTTTGGAATGTTGGGATGTTTGGTAAGTTTTTGGTTTTTGGTACTTTTTGGTATGGTATGATGTTAATCCTTGGTTCGGATGTTATTAATAATTTTGGTATGACTATGATTGACTTAAGTATGAATGTCTTGGTATATTTGGTATGTTGATCACATGGTATAAATTGGTTTTAATTGGAATGCATATGAAGAAAGGAAAGCTCCAAGTTAGGGGGAGTAATTCAAATTACAGTATGGAAAGCGTGACATATATGGTATGTTTGATACAACACTATTTCGTGCATGATTCACTATTTATTAATTGGATGAAGTATGTGAGTCAACGTTAACCAAGGTTCAAAATAAAATCCCACACACAATTAAGCTTTGGTCTGGTCCTAAAAGAATTAAAATTGCATATCTATTTTTTCTATATGTTTAGTACGTATGCTATGAGATATTAATAAAATATTTGTTCTTTTTCCCAAAGTATAATGATACTATTGTTTTACCAAATAAATTGCCAAAGGGGGAGATTGTAAGTGTACAAATTAGTACACATTAGAATGGCTAATTTATTAGTTTATTTTATTAATATGTAATGTTAATGTAATGTAATGTTAATTAGTATGAGTTGTAATTTAATTATTGGACCAAGCTAAAATGTGTGGTGGAGTTTTATTTCTAATGAGTTGGACAAAGAAGCAAGTCTGAAGATCTCAAATTAAAGAATGAGTGGTTGAGAAGAATTCAAGCCACATATGAAGCTACAATCAAGGCTTGGTGGAATGGGAATTGCGTACAGTATATAAGGAAGGGAAAACGAAAGAGGAAGTTGCCAATTCTGAAATTCTGATCTCATATGCAAGCTTCCTATATTACTGCTTTAATATTGATTATATTATTTGTGATTTAAATCTGTACTTCAAATCAGTACCTGTGACAGCTGAAGTGCTACACCAAAGATGGTTATGGCATACACGGTTCAGTCCTGAGTAGGTGTTTTAGAAGAGTTGTAGTGGTAAAGGCTGTGAGCCGTTTGTAGTTACCTCTTGTAATACTCTATGGTGAACATCTAGTGGATTGGGCAGACGTGGGTTGCCCCGCAAACGTAGGA